AGCATACAATGGAGTCTTTCCGTGCCTGATGCTGGCTTGTCTTTCCTTGTGTTTTTTTTTAAAATGTGAATTAGAAACAAACTCATTTGAAGTCAACCGTCCTCCTTCAGCCAAAAAACATAAAACTGAAAGCGCAACCACACATTTTCCCCTCCTGCAATTTGCTTGAAGGTTCAGCAATTAAGTTGGAAGCTTATTCCAGTAATTGAGGAACCTTCTCATTTTCTGATGGATGCAGATTTATACCATTTTGATGTTAAAAAAATAGGATGGGGGCCGTTGGATTGGATGCATGTAGGGCTACCGATACTGACAATGGTCAGATTTGATAGAAGAAGAAGAAGAAGAGAAGAGAAGAAGAAGAGATTGGATTTATACCCTGCCCTTCACTGAAGAAAAAGAAGCGATTGGATTTATTCCCCGTCCTTCACTACCCGAAGGAGTCTCAGAACGGCTTACAATCGCCTTTCCCTTCCCCTCCCCACAACAGACACCCTGTGCGGTAGGTGAGGCTGAGAGAGCTCTGAGAGAAACTGCCCTTGAGAGAACAGCTCTGAGAGAACTTGGGACTGACCCAAGGTCACACCAGCAGCTGCATGTGGAAGAGTTGGGAATCAAACCTGGTTCTCCCAGATTAGAGTCCGCGCTTTGAACCACTACACCAAACCAAACTCTAATGCCATGGAGTCCGCTTTCCAAAGTGGCCATTTTCCCAGAGATCAGTTGTAATGGTGGGAAACCTCCAGCTACCACCTGGAGACTGGCAACTGAAAGATGGAATGACCTCAGACCCAGTTCACACAGTATGAAGCCCCTGTGTCCTTCATGTACCTGACTCAGGTCTTATCAATCAAATGTATGCTTAAGTGTTTCCTGCTCAGAACTGAATTCCCAGGCGCATGAAGATCTGATTTGGACTGCAATTGTGGCATGTTGAGAGAGAGATAGGACATAAACTGTCCCTTTCAGGGTAAGGAGGGTGACTTGTAAGGTTCCCCAGAGAGACACATCTGAGATACTTTCAGCTTCAAGAAGGGCTGGAGAAACAGCTGGAGCAGAAGTCCATCAGTGGCTATTAGCCACAAGGCATAGATGGAACACTCTGTCTTGGTGCTTGGAGAGCAAAAGTGGGAGGGCTTCTGGAGTTCTGGCCCTGCTGGTGGACCTCCTGAGGGCCCCTGGGTTTTGGCTACTGTGTGACACAGAGTGTTGGACTGGATGGGCCACTGGCCTCATCCAACATGGCTTCTCTTATGTTCTTATGTCTGGGGCAGGGATGCTCTGTATTCTTGGTGCCTGGGGGGCAAGAGTGGGAGGGCTTCTGGAGTTCTGGCCCCGCTGGTGGACCTCCTGATGGCCCCTGGGTTTTGGCCCCTGTGTGACACAGAGTGTTGGACTGGATGGGCCACTGGCCTCATCCAACATGGCTTCTCTTATGTTCTTATGTCTGGGGCAGGGATGCTCTGTATTCTTGGTGCTTGGGGGGTGGGGCATGGGTGGGAGGGCTTCTGGAGTTCTGGCCCCGCTGGTGGACCTCCTGATGGCCCCTGGGTTTTGGCCTCTGTGTGACACAGAGTGTTGGACTGGATGGGCCACTGGCCTCATCCAACATGGCTTCTCTGATGTCCTTATGGGTGGCCCTGCTGGTCTGTAGTAGAAGAACAAGATTCAAGTCCAGACTGGAGACTCCAGGTCTTGAAGCCCAACGAGATGCCTAGGATATAAACTTCCGAGAGTGACAGCTCTGATTCTGAACTTATGCCCTGGAACATATATTGTTGGTCTTTAAAGCGCCACTGGATTCGGATCTGTACCAAAAGTCAACCCTTTTGAATCCGGAGGCAATCCTCGCTCCTTTCTCTCTCTCTCTCTCTGTTTAATAAAAAATCACATATTCCAGGAGGCTTCTTTGTTCAGTTGGTGTTAAAGAAAACCCTTCTGAGCTGGCAACAGTGATACATGAAAATTTTACAAATCCCCAGGGCCAAATGGTCTTCAGTGCATGATTTCTCAATGAAGCGTTACTTGTTTAAAAAGTGTGTGGGGGGGACACTCTTTACCAGAGGTCATTTCGAAGGGGAATGCGGGGGAACGCAGTTCCCCCGGGTGAGGTGCAGGGGGCGGGGCACATGACGAAGCCCCGCCCCCTGCTTCCGGCCGCCCCGCTTCCAGCCCTCATTCAGCCAGGAGGAGGCAGGAGAAGAGGGAGGGTAAGTTGCTTCCTCCCCGCATGATGCAGCAGCCAAATGGCTCGCTCACAACTTTAATGCCAGCAGCTCGCAAAGTAGGATTTTTGCTCACAGGACTCCACAGCTTAGAGGGAGCGTTGCCTGGCACTGCTAAACATCTGGCTGAATAAGTCTTGCAAAGGAAGTGGGGGTGGAGCCTGGAGAGGACAGGGATCTCAACTGGTCTCAGGGATCCTGGAGGGTGGGGTGAGGGGCTGCCCTCTTCTGGGCATACAGCAGGGATCATGGGGGGGGTGCATTGTGCAGGGGGTTGGACTAGATGACCCTGGAGGTCCTTTCCAGCTCTGTGATTCTATGATAATGCCATAGAGTCTGCTTTTCTCCAGGAAAACTGACCTCTGTAGAAGAAGAAGAAGAGAAGAAGAAGAGATTGGATTTATACCCTGCCATTCACTACCCAAGGGAGTCTCAGAGCAGCTTATGAACTCCTTTCCCTTCCCCTCTCCACAACAGACACCCTGTGAGGTAGGCGGGGCTGAAAGAGCTCTCAACAGAAACTGCTCTTTTTCAAGAACAGCTCTTATCAGAACTACGGCTTGCCCAAGGTCATCCAGCAGGTGCAAATGGAGGAGTGGGGAATCAAACTTGGTTCTCTCCCAGATTAGAGTCCGTGCACTTAACCACTACACCAAACAGATTAGAGCCTGTGCTCCTAACTGGCAGGTGATTAACAGTAGCAGGCGGGATTGGCTTTCTGTGAGATATCCAGAGGGGTAATAGGCTTGGAGGTGCTGAGGTGGCTCAGTGGCTAAGACTGCAGACTGGAAGGTTTGTAGCTCAGGAAGTTCAAGACCCGCGTGACTGAGCGAGCTCCCGTCTCTTGCCCCAGCTCCTGCCAACCTAGCAGTTCGAAAGCAAGAAACTGCAAGTAGATAAACAGGTACCACTTGGTTGGAAGGTAACAGCGTTCCGTGTGCCTCGGCGTCTAGTCATGCCGGCCACATGACCACGGAGAAGTCTTCAGACAGCGCTGGCTCGTCGGCTTGGAAACGGAGATGAGCACCACATCCCTGGAGTCGGATTCGACTGGCGTTCCGAGCAAGGGAAACCTTGACCTTTATCTTTTGATAGGCTTGGAGAAACCAACACCAATGAGACAGGAAACTTAGGTCTCGATTCAGTCCAGGAGGATACACCGTCCTGAGCTTCATTGTTAATTGCAACTGAGCCGCGTCTTTTCCGAATCTCTCTCTGGAATCTCTTTGTAAAGAAACCTCGTGCACCCGACTGTCCTTTGCGGGGCGGGCCTTGTTCCTCCAGCCCAGCCCGGCACTCGTCCTCCGCTTCGGATCGCCTCTTTGGACAGCGCGCCTCATCAGGCCTCCTCAAAGGGAAGCCCCGTCTTTTGCAACGGGGCCCTTACTCCCGGGAAAGCGTGGCTGGGCAGGGCTGTGGTTTGTCGCAGGCAATGTTCCCTCTAAGCTGTGGAGTCTTGTGAGCAAAAATTCTACTTTGTG